TATACCAGTTCACATGTATGCGTGGGAGCAGTTACATTGGAAGATCAGAAAGAAGGGCCTGCGTCAAATTCTTCGAACATATACCGAACAGCTTCTGGTTAAAAGGGCCAAGTGGTTTAAACTCCTCAGTTACTAAACACTTGATAGACAGTGAACACACAAGAAACGCGCTAGCATCATTCAAAACAATTAACAAACAAAACAGCTTAAGTCTTCTTTGGTTTACTGACGCTATGATATGTATCCACATGATGTGTGTTTTGTTTTTTTGACAGTCTGTTATATTTTTCTATGTGTATATCGATCGATATTCCATTATAACTGACATTATGCTTTTGTCTGTCCACTAACTAAATAAAACATGTATGACCTTGTTGTCACATGACATTACAACCAGTCATGGTAAGACGTTATCTTATTGGTTCATGTGTATTAGCTTTTGTATTAGACAGTTGTACATTATTCTTCTTCACACACATTTCGTACATTTAAGTACCCTTCCACTCACACACTTTTGTGACATTTATTTTCCTTGTCTGGAAAATACAAGTATCATCGTAAACCTAGTGGTCTTCTGATTTCCTTCTTTCCGCGTCAGGACTATTAACTACTCGACGAGTTCATAACATAATTGGCGACGGGGAAAACTCTAATAACTCACTCGGCAGAAGTACATAACAGTCTATCACAATAAAACGGCTGAAACTTGACCTATGTGTCCAAAAGGCATGTGTCGTTGGACTCCAACTGCCCTAGAAACTCATCCCTTAATAACTCTTGGTCTTCTAACTGCATTAGCCTATCTTTTTAACGCTCCTCCCCCACCCTTCACCTTATTTCTTCTTTTTTGACTTCCAAAGGAAATAATTTTTATTTATTTAAGTATTGGTTCGTAGGGATTTGATTGGTTACGGGATTTTATCATGATAAGCTGACATCAGTTAGAGAACCATTGGTAAACCACCACCACTGAAGTACTAGACACCTGCCGATTTCGGCCTAGTTTGGGACTACTCAGCAGTACGCACCCACTGGGGTTCGAACCCAGGACCTTCTGGTTACAAGGCGAGCTAGCTCATAGACCATTAAGCCACTAGGACCCTATCCAATGGACTGCCCATGAATTCTAACTTCTGCCAATTCACGACATAGCCCCGGCCCCTTGCCAATATCTTCGGCAGGTATTTGTCCTCATACCCGACCTGCTTTTTTTCTTTACCTTATGAGTTCTACTCACCTTTTCATCTAACTTCTTGCACACCGAATTTTGATCTTCTCTTATCTAACTACGTAGTTATTACTAATTTTTTTGTTACCACCCTAACAACAAACTTGTCACTTAATTTTCTAGAAACTTCTCTCTTTGACAAGATATATATATATATACTCTTCAGATACCTTGTCATCCTGATGTTTTACCTCACCATGACACTCTTATGCAGTTGATGAGGAGAATCAATGAAATAAAATGGATCCATGTTCTTGTTCTTTCTTTGCTCAAATAATTATAAATTCTAATTAGAATAATTGTACATATATGTCATTTCCAAAGGATTACAAATGACAAAATGTGTGCTTTCTAGCATCCACAACTAGTCGTTAACAACTGGATAATACGAGAAAATAGTTTCAGTGTATCATGACTGCCAGTAGAATCCAATAGGTACATTTCACTTTCCTATTCGCTACTTGTCAGCTAGTGGTTGCACCCCAATAAAATGAAGGAGAGTGTCCTCACTGAGACTCGAACCCAGTATGCATCATTTTAGACGCTAAAGCTATAACCACTAGACCATTTGGCCTGTGATAGTCACCTCTTGTGCAACATGCATTAGTTATTATTTGTATCTTTAATTCAATTTGGATTTTCTCGCTGACTGATTGGGAACTGATGTCCGGCCTCTGTTGACATCCAGAGAAACCTTTTGAGTTTATGCTTAGATATTGTTGAAGCATCCGTAACGGGAGGTGATATATCAAAAGAAGCCAAACATCTCAGTTCAATTAGTGAACGGAAAAATCAACACTCATTTGAAACATCATATTACCCTTGAGGATTCTATGAATCGCCTGCACTAAGAAGACGAAATGAGAACAGATACTGAGTGAGTCTGATTAGTGATATCATTAAAATAGAATTCCAAATAATAATAATAATAACAACAATCTGAACAAATAATGGTCCTTCAAGTGATGGTTTGTACGGATTTGATTGGTTTCAGGATTTCATCATGAGCTGACATTAGTTAAAGAACCATTGGAAAACCTAAGAGTAATGGAGAACTGTTTCGTCCTAGTTTGGGACTCTTCATCAGTACGTAACCACCGGGATTCGAACCCAGGACCTTCTGGTTACAAGGCGAGCTAGCTCGTAGACCATTAAGCCACTGTGAACCGATCCAGTAGGTCCTGGGTTCGAATCCCGGTGGTTACATACTGCTGAAGAGTCCCAAACCAGGACAAAACAGCTGTCCGGTACTCCCAGCTGGTTTTCCAATGGTTCAATAACTAATGTCAGCTCATGATGAAATCCTGAAATAATGGTCCTAATACTAATGAAGGCATTATCCTGAAATGTTCTTCAATCATCCAATAGATGCTCAGAAGGAAATTAAAAAAGTTTCGACATACTCTGATAAGACTGTTGCTAAATAACACCACTAGCCAAGCAGGCGCTTGAGTGGAAAGTGAATAGGAAGCGACAAAATTTGGATACTGGAATGTGACATGTGAAATGAGGGGGGGGGGGACAAGTGAGTTTGTGAGTAATCCTGAAACAAACCGAAGGTATTCAGCGATTAACCTCTCCATCTCTCTACCTAACTATAATACTTTTGAATATTCTCACCCTATCCTGCCCACTACGTATTATGTGATCGCATGCAAGTGGATGCAGTGCAATAGCTGAGTTTTCTTCTAGATTATTTCACTTAGCACAGTCAATTATTCAAGGTCTAGCTAAACTTTCATCTTCCCATAAATACAGTTGATCCCGATCTAATAGTTTCACTGACTTATGTAACTGACCTCATTGACAGCCTTTACATTTTATTTGGTAAATTATATTATTTCTTTTAATTGTACGTATTAGGTCCTGAAGCCGGCAAATTTTACCTCTAATAGAGTTGTTTGGTTGATTGGTTTAAATGCCACTCTAATTCAAGCCTCATTTTAAATCCTACATAAAGCCTATGACGTTCCTTCTTTATACGCTGTGGTACCACTTAGGCTTTGAAGTCTATATTATTTTCATTATTTTCGACATTTTTATGAGTAATACTAGGTTTTTCGCGAATCTTCATATGTTTTTGAATAAACTCTGGTGGGTAGTTATTCACTAGTTTGGATTATTTGATTTTTCTGGCCTACTAGTTAGGCTCTTGGCCCGATTATAAAGACATTTAACTAAACCTGTCTTCACCGATTCTGGACGGGATAAATAAAAGTTTAAGTATTTATTAGAGTGTGTTGGTTTCCCATAAATGCCAGCTCGTATCTAACTCATCATCTTGTTTTCGTCTTATTCTACAGTCTTGCATGATCAACTCACTCTCTTTGATTTCTAACTCAGAAACGAATTGGATTCCGTCTACTACTGAGTTTATAGGTGTGACAAGCCTAGAAATATGTTCAGAATTCAACACAGTTATGGAATGTGTCATCCACATATCTCCACCGTAACCTAGGATCAGTAGGATTAAACATTCTAAAGGGGCCTAATATTCCTGACTATCCATAAATATGCCTGCAACTATTTGGGGATATTGGTGATCCCATTGCCATCCCATTCGTTTATTTATATAATTTGCTTTGAAATTTGAATACACTGGACGATAAACATAACTTGAAATTTTCAAGTATTGGCTTTGTAGCGACTTTGTTTGATCGGAGAGAGGATATCATCGTGAGCTGACACCAGTTAGAGAACCATTGGAAAACCACCACTAGAGTAATGGGCAGCTGTTTCGTCAACGTAGCTTAGGACTCTTCATCAGTACGCACCCATCGCTAGCGACTGGCTCTTTTCAGGCAGTGACCTGGAGTTCTAGTAGGAAACCGTGATCATTAGGGTACAGCAGGTTGAAGATGAGGCAGTAACTCACCTAAGAAGACACTGCGAAATGGTTGCTCTATGTCGTGAATCGGCAGAAGTTGAAAATTCATGGACTAGTCATTGGATTGGCGAGTCCTAGTGACCTAATGGTCTTCGAGCTCGCCTTGCAACCAGAAGGTCCTGGGTTCGAACCCCAGTAAGTGCCTTCTGACGAAGAGTTCCACACTAGGACGAAACAGCTGTCCAATAATCCTGGCTGGTTTTCCAGTGGTTCTCTAACTGATGTCAGCTTGTGAATAACTTCAAATACCCAACTAAAATTAGTTTCAGGGACTGGAGTACACTTCCGCTGACTGACTGACTGACTGATCGGTTTTAATATAGAACTTTGCACAGGCGTGCAGCTGTTTGAGTCGCCACACTTCAGTTAACACACGAAGCAACAAAAGAAAGTGAAAAGAAATAAGTATAAAACTTGGGCACTGTGGTAGGGCATAACTCTATTATGGATAAGATTTTATTTTGATGAATCACACAGTGTTTTGCAGTAATATTACTTTAATACAGTAATATGTTACTGTACAATATTGTTGGCATTGGCTAATGCAGCTTCCCAAATAAGTGAAGTAGTCACCACGCTCAGCCACCACTTCACTCCATACCTTTAAACTAGGAGTAAGTTGATGTAGTCCAGTCCACTCTTCTTATATTTGACGAGAGCGAGTCGTGCGCTAAACATTCGCATATTGAAGCTCAAGGTGTTTAAAAGACTATGTTAGATTTGGTCAGCGTCTACAACCAAGGAGGGATATTCTAAGTCAACGAGGTTATTCCACTCGAAATAAAAGAAGTGAATGCAATGACTCTAGACAGTGTTTTTCAAAACTCAGTAATAATAAATTCATTAGAATTCAATAATTACATTGGCTCGAAACACTTAACTTACATTGTTATTCATCGTTTCAGATATGTAGTGATTTTTCTGAGGTAAATCACCCCAATTATTAGAACACCTGAAAGAGATTTATACAGTAGTATGCTGAATCTGATGATTTGTAATTAGAAATAATTAGAAATTGAGAAATCAAACGATATAAGTTGGAAATAAGCACGCTATTGCAAAGGTTGCATTGTGGTGGTGTGATACAGACACTGTTCTCCAACGGAATATTATTCTCACATATTCCCACAGTTCAATGCTGCATTGGCAGCAGAATACAATATATCTATTTGAACATTCTATTTCATGTCGTTTAATGTAAACCAAAATCACATACTGAGTGATTGGTTAGAAAATATAAAACCGTATTTACATAAATAGCTGTTTGACCATTTGAAAATATACGTTGGCTTCCGTATCTTGCCTTATGTCTACGGAATATCGGACAGTTATTTCATCCTAGTTTGGGATTGTTCACCTGTGGTGAGAGCTGTCTGCAAGCCAAAATTGGTAGACAGCAATTCACGTCAATGTTTACGTCCAAAATCTTGGTCATGAGAAAAAACAAGAACAAAGCCTAACCTTGAGGAACTCAACAACCAATCACAACAGCATCTACAAATATGATTCGTAGATATATGGCTTAACTTTCTAAGAAACCATCACAAGCAGTACAAAATAACCTTTAGTAAGAAAACAACCAATCAGAAGACATTGCTTCTCTGCTAACAATAACTCTAATAATAATGTACATAAAAATCTATAAACATCTGTTGATTTTCTCAATAAACGATCTGTTGCCTGGTCCTTGTCTTCTGCTGCTAAACACCTAGCAGTCTTCAAACCTGGGACCTTTTGGATACCATGAGAAGCTCATAGACCGTTTAGCCAATGGGACGGAATCTAATAACTCATGCCTTCTAACTTCTACCAGTCTATGATTTTAGCGTGACTGGCCTCGGGCAGTGTCAGCGGCAAGTATATCTCCTCACTCTAATTCGTCGCAGTTCGAAAGTAAATATGATGCTTGCTAGTGACTGGCCACAGGAAAAAGAAGCTTAAAAATCTACTGAGAATTCGTGACCAATCAGATCCACTTGGTTAGAGGTGAGGAAAAATACTCGCCGATGATATTGGCTGATGCCAGTCACGCTAAAATCCAAAACTGGTAGAAGCTGGAATTCGTACTTCCGTCGTAAGATCAGCTCCAGTGACTGAATCGTCTACAAGTTCATCTTATAAACGGAAGATATTTGGTTCATACTCTGGTGAATGAGTATTGCTGTATACTTCATGCATTCATTCTGCTTGATGAACATGAATAAAGCCAGAATAACTGTGGAGGTTTGTGCAGAATAATATGGTACCATCATTGCTCATTTCGTTGGCTTCTCACCAGCTGATCAGCTGATTACAGTCTGGAAATAGATGTCCAACATCATCTATAGCGAAGCATATTATAGAGACGGGTCATAAGGTTGATTTTAACAATGCCTTTAAGCCGATATATAAAACAAGGTTGAGTCACATACTTAAACCCACTGAAGCCTTAGTCAAAAAAAAGACTTAAACCTGTCTTGTGCGTCCAAAAGTTATTCGTTATCACCTTAAACCTGCCTTGGTAATCCAAGCTAGAACCAAGGACCAATTTACTTCATAATATTTTCAACCCCTTCTTTGCCTTGTTTTTCCTCTCTTTATCTTTCTTACCCACATCTTTTGCGTCTCCCTACCCATTATTTGTGACCTTGACCTGTATTGTAATTATTCATGCCTTCTTGCCTTCTATAAAAACTGTGTATGACAAGTACGTGTGTGATCAGAATGTCCGAAATGTGTTGCGCCAATACATTACACGTTTCAGGTAAACTACGTCTTCTTATTGTGTTGTCGAAATTCATGAAGGGAACTAATTGCTTATGCATACAATGGTGAAGGAGTTACATAATAAAGATGAGAGATGCGTAAGATGCAGAGTGACTAATAAATTAGGTGGAAATAAACTAAGTTCAACTCAAATCATAGAAACAAGAGACAAGCGAAATTACAAATTATAAAAGAGGGGTGAGATTGAAGCCAGCGATTACGTAGTCAAATGAAAGAGAGAATAAAGACATCCAGCTACCAGTCAGGGCAATCAAAGTCTAATAACTGCTTCTTTCTGAACACATAAATCTGGTTTCAAGCACTTGATAGAAATTGTTCCGTCAAGCTTGGGAAGAATCGAGCCCCCTTGTTTGTTGATAATTTTAGAGGATTTCGCGATTTCCGCTTCATGACCCGTATCGAGGAGATGTCTGGTAATAGCGCTATTATAAGAGTTTGTTCCCTTGAAGTGGCTGTGTATAAACTATACAAGCGAAATTTTCTGACTACCGTTCACTAATTATGGAACTTTCTGTCATCTAACATCATGGGAAAAAATTTGCAAGTATGTTGATACTTTTTTGTACATACACCACACAATTTATTCAGGCTGTAATCAGCTGATCAGCTGGTGAGAAGCCGACGGAATGAACAATGATGGTACCATATTATTCAGCACAAACCTCCACTGTTGTTCTTGCTTTATTGCTAAATGGTCCTAAAATAGGTAGAAACATTTGTCCGGTACTCTCTTGCTGGTTTTCAATGCTTCTCTATCTGTCATTCTTTCAATACTTAACTTTCCGTCAATTATTTTTCAACTTTTATCCCATGTCTTATCACTTTTTATCAAGGATTAATATACGGTCATTAAGCCCTTGTTTCTGATATTTCAGAGGTGTACGCATATTCTGTATTTTCAACTGGCGAGGATTCTACCCCTGAGCCACCAATGCAAAAAATTGTCAGATACGTCATCCCAGTCCAGTCTGGGACTCTGTCACGTCACACTGTGAGGTAATCACTAATTTACAAGAATAAAAATACTTAGAATTTAGGATGAAAGAGCACTACCACTTGCCGGGTGAATGGATTATTATGTTTTTATTTTATTTTTTATTTTTGATTACAGCTTGATTCCACACTGTATTTTTGGTACAAGTATGGAATTTTCAGCATGGATATCAGTAGCCCAAATTTTGCAGGCCGACCATAGATATCAGGTATGCGTCGGCAGGGGATCGAACCTCGGACCATGTGAATGGTCGGCGAGAGTCCTAACCACTGTGCCACCAACGCACCAGGATTAAAGGCAGGATTAAAGGTGGTTCAGTTGTGGACTTTCATCAACATGCATCCTACTGATGCCCAAATTAGATCTAGAAAATTTATCCTGTATGGCACAGCTTTCATTAATTCCTTCATACATTTCTTCCCATTTATATACTTGAGGAAAACAAGAATAACAAATGTACCAGGATAATATAAACACTCATAGTTTATTATTATTTCGAGAGTTCTTCTCAGCTGGATACAACCTGAACAGTACAAAAAATATGTATCAATTACACTGAAGATTTAAACATGTATGTACGCTGTACCTTCCCGGACTACATATCCGATTCTCACTCAGTAACTACACGCCTTTTGTTAAATAAGCTTTCCCTTATGCAAACTAAGTCCTGGGATGTTAACTGGTTGCATTTCTTATTTCTCAAATAGAATGCAGTATACTGTCTCGTTTAATGAAACTGGTGTTCTGCAGGGTGTTGCTGTTCTCTCTCCTTTTCTTCTTTTCTTTCTTCTTACATGATTTACCCCTTTCGAATGATATCAACTCCGTCAAATACGCTGATGCTGTGATCGTCTCACTTCCTGTCAAATTCCAATCTGACTGTTGCAAACTTAATTGCCTATTTTCAAACGTCACTCAGTGGTCTAAGCTAAATGGTCTTACGTTAAATCCCTCAAAACGCCAGACTACTGACTTCTCCTTTTGAAGAAAAACGTGATATACAACGACTGCTTAATGTCTGATCCTCAACGCCGCCTCTATTCTCAACTCTCCGTGGGGTGGAACTTATCTGGTAGAACCAGAAGTCAGTACAAAAGATTATAAGCTCGTATCACCGAGTATAGGAACTCAATGATACCATATTCAGCCAGCCCGTGTTCTATGTAACAGTGACAAGTGTAAAGCGTGAATCTTATAAATAACTACATTGTTAGCTAAATAACTGACCCTTATATTATCTCCTATTTGTAATCTATATGGTGACACTATCTCAATTAACTGACAGTCTTAAGTACTAACCTTATTATTGTTATTATTTTACTGTCATTATTAATACCGAATAAGAACTGTTATCAACAATCCTGTAATATTATCTTTATAATTGTTTTTAATATTATTCGAGTATTGTTTTTTTATAGGAAATCTGTTTGATTGGTTGCAGGATTTCATCATGATAAGCCGACATCGGTTAGGGAACCATTGGAAAACCAGTCAGGAAGTACTGGATAGCTGCCTCATCAGCCTAGTTTGGGACTCTGCTTTAGCCGTACACACCCACACTGCGGAGTTCGAATCCAGGACCTTGGGAAGGGCAAGCGAGTTTGTAGACCATTACTCGATAAAATTAGATACAGTATTGTACTAGTAACACAGGTGTAGCATGAATAATGTCCAGCTGAAACAATGAAATTTTCTAGAAATGACAAAAAATCACGTATTAAAATTGAATACTCTGTTATCACCAAGTTAGTGCGAGATTAACCACTGTCTCTTTCTGTGTGAATAGTTTTGATTTTAATCATTTGGTGGTGATTGCTTCAGCAAAATGTGGTAAGGTAGGTTTCTTTTACCTATTGGTTATATTGAACGCTTTGTCTGAAATACGACCAGTTTTTGATAGATGGTAAGCAATGGAACTGTTTAATGCTCGTGAATCTCTCAGTCTTTCAGTTCTTGAGTATGTGTTCAGAAAAATGTCGACAATAACTTTTCCTCCACGTGAAGGCTTAGGCACTAACACGCAAATTGGTAAATACTCAATCTTTATAACTCATAATAATTTAACAACGTACATCATCCCAAAATGATGTTACTCTTAGTTCCTAACAATTACTCCTTATCATTGTGAAAAACGGTATTTTCATATCTTTAATGTTATTTATATTTCGGTTGGTTCGTCGGTGGCACAGCGGTTAGGACGCTCGCCGATCAAGCACGTAGTCAGGGGTTCGATCCCCGGCCGCCAACGCACTCCTTTACCTGGCTAAGCCAGTAATACAGCTGGTAAAGAGGAAAGGTTGAGCATGAGGCTAGCAACCTCATTCCGTAAAAAATAAACACTGCTACAGAAACTTCAAGCCTCTGGCTTGAAGCCCTGTGTTCCACTGGGAACCTGAAGGAATAAAGAAGATATTTCGTTTGTATTGTTCAAGGTTGTAACCAGTTGAGAAGATTCTTCGAAATAATATACGATGAGCTGATGTTTTTCCGGTACATTTGTCGTTCTTCCTCTGTTCAAATGAATTTGTAATTTATATTCTCAACTCTGAAACCCGCCACTTAGATATGACTATCAATACCATATAATGACTGTGATTGAGGTCAGTTGCATAGGTGAGTGGAACTAGTGTAACAACAGAAGACAAGGGTCAGGCAACAAATCGTTTTATTACGAAAATCAACACGCATTTATATAAATTTCACATACATTATTATAGCCTAGTCAAGTAGACAAACGCAGTCTTCTGACTGGTTGTTTTCAAGTTCCTCGGAAAGTGGAGCCATCTATCTGCAAATCATATTTGCCCACGTTTAAGTTTGCTGTGATTGGTTGTTGTTCATATTTTCTCACGGCCCATATTAGTGACCTAGACATTGACGTAGATTAATTTCAACCAATTGGCTAGCAGGCTGCTCTCATCACACTAGTAAACCAGGGTCAACTAGATAATTGGAACATGAAAAATTTAGCCAGACGTAGAATAATTGACGCTGCTAAGTTAAATGGATTAGGGGAAAGCTAAGCCATTGCACTGCATTCACTTGCATGGAATCACACAGTAGGGTGAGCAGGACAGAGTGAGAGTATTAAAAAGTAATATAGTTAGGTGGAGGGACAGAGAGGTTAATCACTGACTGAGTCTTTATTTATTGATTCAACACCACTCACTTGCAGCAATCGGAATGACGTAACACAATTACCGGAGATATGGAAAGTGATAACAAACAACAAGGGGAAATTGGATAGACAGAGTAGAGAGGAAGAATATATATAAGACAAATTGTGAAACCGTATGACTAAAATTGATATGATTATGAGTAGCAATGAGTTACGCTCGAAACCTTGTCATCTAGTTGTTAATACTGTATGTTTGAGTAAAAGTATTTAAAATAAACTTATCTAATATGGAATTAACGGCTAGCAAGACTTGTTAAGTGAAACGCTTTCACAACATCCCTCCACAAGTCAATTATCACAGATCGTAATGAACACAATGTTTAGTGATGAAGAAACTATAGGAGTGCCAGCCCATCGCTCGAGTGGAACTTGAATGGGAAACGACGAGTTGGGCGTTGGCCAGACGGTGATAAGGAGGAAATCGTATGAAGAGAAGGTAGTAGATTACAGGCAATCATAGAGACAGATGAGGTGGACTGCGGAGAACCAAACGAAATGGAGATTTCTTGATGAAGCCTTATGTTCCACTGAGAACCAAGAGGACCAAGAATTAATTTAATAATATATATTACACTAAGTAAATTCACATTCTGGTTGTCGAAAAAGCTGTATGATGCGCAATAGTACTGCGTCAAATAAATGTACATTATTCATCTTCTCAGTAATTTAATCTATTGAGAGGTCCCTATTAACCATCAGTTTACTTACTTGTTGACTGATTTCGTAGACATATCAAGGTGACTGGGTGAGTCAACTTTTTGACTTAAATCAATTGGATTACAATTGGAAGAGTTTGATCTATCAATTTGGCTCCAAATCATTTCATTGAACTGAGGGTTCGAGTTGTACTCATTCGTATTGGTATTTGTCAGCTTTGTCTAAGTGAGCAAGAAAAAGAGAAAGAAAGAAAAAACTGAGTTTTCAATTTTCAATTTGATTTTTTTAAAAGTCATAATATTTTAATATTAATATTATTCTTATAGGTTACGAGTGAACAAAATAGCGCTTCAGAAGGATGTCTCCGTTTCACTGTGTTCTTTGAAGTCCTCTTCGACTGGAATCACGATTACTGATAATCTCCCATCCTCTCTTCACATGATCTACTCTGTGTCAACCTTAGACTCTCGCCTAACTCATCATTTCCTACTAGGTTCTACTGGAGTTATAGTCTGGCGTGCAGTATTACCTGACGGTCTCCTCAGTGTGTTTCCAATTAATCTTTATTTCCTTATGCATATTTGTTGATCAAAAGGTTCTTAGTTTGTTGGCTGGTAGCGAGAGTTTCTTGTTGCTTATTATTTCTGGCTGACCATTTGATCTTCAAGTCTTTATCAATCTCAATCAACAGTTCGCTATATCACAACGCCTGTCACATGTCAGACGATCAACAACGGAAATCTCAGAGAGGCGTTCAAAAGGAATGCACGAGTAAGACAAGCTGACTGCCTATTGTGACCAATAATATTACTAATTGGGGTGGACTGGATTGTGCGTCAAACTGTGCTTTGGGAGTGAGGAGACAGAAATACGCTTGACTGACCAATAAGAAGACTCTATAAGATCTGGATTTCACGTGTGGAAGATTTATGTTTCATGTCGCACAAACTCGAAGACTTGTAGGCAGGCGAAAACCAACAAACTGGTTGAAGAAGGTGGCAGCAAAGACAGGACTCCAGGTGAGTATGGAGAAGATGGAGGTGACGAAGATATCCGACCAACAGCAGCAGCAACAACAACAAGAACAACGAACACCAATCACCATCAATGGGACAGATCTGAAAGAAGATACTTCCTGGCTTCATTTTTCTCTCCGGAAGCACAGTTTCAACTACAGGCAGTTAGAACGGACGAAGATATCAAAGACAGCTAGCCAACCGGAATCGGAAAGGCAGGATACGCCTTAATCAACCTGAAACCAGTTTGCAAATCTTCTTCACTGCCTCAGCCAACATAAAGAAGAAAACTTGAATTTTCAACACCAGTGCGAAGTCAGTCAATCAGTCCTTCCAAATGGTTCAGAAACTTGGCAGATGTGTCACGAAAAGGAATTCCAAGGGGTTATAGACTTTTACCAAAATCTGCATTTGCTGACTCCATACTGAATATCAAATCGCCGGCTGGCTGGCCCATCAGAAGGAATTAATAGCAAGAAACTCTGGAATGGAACAAACCAAAAAGAGAAAGCCGATTGCTTGACAAATATGGAGCAGAACCGGAGATGGACATTCGGCATACTCCACTAAGGAGACCGTAGAGTGACATCACGCACAATTCAGGCTATCACTCGAGTGGAATCCCAATAGGAAGCGACAAGTGGATCGAAGGTGCGAGGGTGACATGGAGGAGATCATGTGAATTGGAGGAGGAGATGAGAGATTATGGGTGATCGTGAAGCTATCCAGCTGAAAATGACAGTGAAAAGTAAGAGAAAGGGGAGATGTGTTGTTGAAGCTAGACCTACGTTCCACCCAGAACTCAAGGTAATAATAATAATACCATCACTATGAAGCAACAGAATGCGGTTGTTGGTAAAAGTCTGCAGACTGTTGAAAATTCTCACTTTGGTGCGTTGAGTTTCTGACACATATTGAAGAAATGACTGACTTCCCATTGGTGTTGTAAATCCGAAAACTTTCTTCTTCATGCTGAGTATAGAAGATTTTCATACTGGTTTCATACTGATGAAGGTCTGTCTTGGCTTTCCGATTGTAGTTTTTGTATTCTAACCCATGAAGTGGGCCGTATCTGAAACGATGTTGCCCAAATAAGTGAAAGACTTAACCTCTTTAAAATTTCTCCAATTGATATTGATTATTCGATGAATATCTTCATCGCCTCTATCTTCTATGTATTCATACTACATCGAGTTTATGTGACATTGAACATAAATTGTTCGAGAACACATGATCTTCTTTAGTATTCTTACGCATTCCAGTCTTTCTGCGCCCTTCAGTCTACCGCACAATCCAGTCCACCATAATTAAAACAATCATCAGCTAGTTTAATAGTTTTTTAGCCAATCTCAAGCTTAGGAAATTTGGGAATGGAGCTGACAACTCTACCCTCGGCACATAAATCAAATGGCTACAGAAACTTCAAATCACAAAAAAATATGCAGAAAAAACTTGTTTTTCAAGTCAGGTCATAAATCGATATGGTTCACGGTCTCATATTGCATAACCGGAAATTCTTGAATCATATGGATGTATAACCGAAGAACCACATACTAGTACGAGATGACTTTCCTGTATATTCAGCGGTTTTTAATGGTCCTCTCACTGAGACTGATTCATGATCAAACTTGATACTCCTGAGTCGGTGGCACAGTGGTTAGGACTCTCGCTGACCATGCATATGGTCCGGGGTTCGATTCCCTGCCGACGCACACCTGATATCTATGGTCGGCCTGCTAAATTTGGGCTACCGATATCACACGCTGAAAATTCCATACCTGTACCAAAAAATTGCGGTGTGGAATCAAACTGTAATAAAAAATGAAGTAGTATACTGTGATAAATCATTGGTGTCGTAGTATGATTAACTTTCAGATTAGGTGTACACATCAGACATGATTTGTTAACCATAGTATGCACAATAGGAAAAAGATAGATCAAGGAAAATGGCTTAAATTGTTCATTCCATACACTGTAAGCTTTATCTTAAAGATATTAGTAGAATTAAAGAGAACAGTTTGTTGAAAAATAAGTGAGTTTCTTAAGCCTACTATACTTATCCTCTATACTGAAGTGTGGATGGCCGATCTCAGGTGATGAGCAACTATAAGGAACTTTGACAGGTGTAGAATCAATCAACAATCTACTATCAAAAGAATATTGAGGTGGAATAGGTTTACACTGAAGAGACCTCCAAATGACATCACATATCAGACCTTCGACTGGAACCCAAACGAGAAGCAGAGAGTTGAGCGCCGAAGATCTACATACAGGAAATCGTATGTTGAGGAGGTGTACTCTTGTGAATGGTCGTGTATTCAGCTAAAATGGACTAGAGAGAACAAAGTGAAATAGAGATGTTCTGCTGAAACACTGCCTTTCATTCAGAACCCAATGGATAAATAATAATAATAATAATAATAATAATAATGGTAGTAATAATTTGAATTTCTCACTATCCTATTGGCCATCTCTGAAATGTCTATCTTTCTGAATTCATTGGCTGGATTTCAGTATGTGTCTGTCACACTATATATATATATATATATATATATATATATATATATATATATATATATATATATATATATATATATATATATATTCCACTATACGTCAGCCTTATCAACAGAAAGGTCTGATCAAATATTGTGCAGCATCCTATTTCTTACCAATAGTATATGTTAGTAACGCTGCTTGCGCTTGTGGACTATTCATTTTTGTTTGATTCTATACAATATTTCACAATGAGCTGACATCATTTAGATAACTATTGGCAAACCACCACCGGAGTACTGGACAGACGGTTCGTCCTAGCTTGGGACTCTTCATCATTTATCACCTACACTGAGGGGTTCGACCCCCATGACCTACTAGTCACAAGGTGAGCGAGCTCGTAGACGAATAAGTCACTGTAACCCTATCAAATGACCAGCCTATGAATTCCAACCTCTGCAAATTCACGACATAGCATGACCACTTCAAAATGTCCTCTTCGATGAGTTACTGTCTCACCTTTATCTTGCTGTACCCTACTGGTCACGGCTTCCCACCACAACCCCAGGTAACTGCCTGAATAAGGCCAACCGCTAGTGAGGATCATGATTAATTTTCAGTTATTGGGTTTTGTAGGGATTTTATTTGATTGGATGGAGGATTTCATCACCAGCAGATATCGGTTAGAGAACCATTGTTATCAAGACGATATATAAAGGTGGTGGTGATGTGTTATCAGTTAATGAAAATGAAGGATTATCAGGCAACATTTATTCAACGATAACTTGATGTAGCTTCTTCCCTATACTTTATTGTCCAAACGGCATTTATACGGATGTTTAACAGTAAACCTTGTCTAATATCTTCTAACCATGTGTAGGCTAGTTATAATTCAGAGGTAACAGTAAACACATAAAATGAATAAAATATTTTTATAACAATACAAATAACAGTCTAACAACCGGAGAGTCGACAGGCTTCTGGATGAGAATGCTGAAATCTTCTCAGATTTCAATACCTTCAATGATTTAGTGATTTGAGGCAGCATGTAGAAGCATAAGAAAGCAGACAATACGACATCGGTTTCACCAGAGAGATACATCTAAAATCAGACAGATTTCATTTCAGAATGGGATACCTGGTCTCATGGAGACAAATTGGAGAAGAGGAGCAAATTTAGGTGAGGAACCATTCAAAAACAATCTGAAGGCCTTCAAAATAACTGGGACAGACACCAGTCAATGTTCAACACTTGAAAACGGAAGGCAGGAACTACAAAGGGAATCTTCTCTATAGACATAAGAACAGGGTCAGAGATATCACCAAGGAAACCTACGTAGAGGAACATTCTGAAAGAAGTCCCCTAGGAAACCTCTTTGGCTGTCTCAAGAATAAAGAAGACGAGGAATAGCTCTGAAGGGGCACGTGAAAGCTTATAGTGAAGAAAGAGATGGTAAAACAAATGGTAAACCAGAGCAGAAATGAACATCAATCAATAGCTTAAAGGAGTGCTAGGAAAGGCAAACGACAATTCTATGACACCCTGGCAATTGAAGCGGGTGAGACAGACCTCAGAAAATTGTATATCAGGTAACCAGGTCTCTATCCGTGAAGAGATCAACTCAGGTGAAACCAGTGAAAAGTATTTAAGCAGACATAACTACCGAAGAGGAGAAACAAAGTAAACGCTGAGCTGTTAACTCCAAAAGACTCTTGAATTGACCACTACATGGAACTTGTCGAGAAGTACTACTAACAACCATAAGACTGCCTGTGAACACTAAATATAAAGCGGAATCATTTTAGAAGGACTAAAAGATCCTCGTATGCAACCTCGTATACCATTCAGCCACTGGGATCAGATTCAATGACCAGTCCATGAGTTCTAACTTCTACCAATGCGTGATTTAGCCTGACCGTCAACCAATGTCATCGGTGGGATATCCATCCTCACACTTGACTGGACGGACCTCACTGGTCACGACTTCTCACAAGAACTCCAGTAAACTGCGTTCTATATGTCCTGTGTTCGAACCTCATGGCGTGAGTGCGTACTGTCGATGATTCCCAAACTATAATGAGACAGTTCACCGTCCAATACTCGCTGGTTGGCTTTCAATGCTTCTCTAACTGATATCAATCCATAGTCACACTCGTAAAAACATAAATAGAATAAAGTCTGAAAAAGATCTAATTGAAAACAGAAATACTGTTCGCTTATATGTTTTCTTCTATTATTAACAATTGCAATATTTAAAAAGATTGGGAAACCGTTTATTTACACAAATCAAATAGTTTACAAACAATCTATACATCCTACTTACCTCATTAAATAATAAATCACAATTTGTTGAATGTTTCAATTGTACAAAGTTCAATATTTGTTTATTCACTTCATTATGATGAATATATTCAGCTTGATTTGAAATTAATTTATTCACGAGTAATTCAATTGTATACTCACACAAATGATTAAATAATTTATAGGCATAATGCATTTCAGCTGATGACATTTGATGCAATAAATTACACAAGTAATTAATCTAGAAAAGAAAAGTGAATATAATATAATTTTATTTTTGTTAGTCAACACAATGAAATGCAAATTTACTGTTGAATTCAGCGTGTTCAATATGTGATCATATCCATTTGTAGTATCCATAATAATAATGATGATGATAATAAATAATTATAACCAAGATGGCGAGTAAAGACGATTGAGGTATTCTGAATTAATTTAAGATAATTCTTCCTGATTATTCTATTATGTAGTGCGAAGTAGGCTGATTTGTTTTTAATTTTCGTGGGAGAAACATATATGAGAATACGTTCTGATAATATTCATTATAGGCACAGCATTAAGGAAGAGTTATGCATTAATTTAAAATAATCTATCTTGAGGAAAATAATCAATAAATACACATGCATATATATATATATATATATATATATATATATATTCAATCGATATATCCACAGAATTAATCAATAAATATATAGCATTGATTTTCAATGGTCTGATATAATTTATGTTAAGGTTATAATGAACTGATTCATTAGTTAGCTAAAATGATAAATATGTATGTTTGTATTTGAGACGAATCTCCTAATCGTTTTGAATGAGAGGAAATAATGAAAGTAAGTGTGGCACTCAAAAAACACTACGGAATCCGCTATTCCACTGTACGATGAATGTTTAATAACGAACGTTATCTTTAAGTGGAAGGCATAGCAATAGGCTGCCCCATGAATTATCTCCCAGCCGATATACTTTAATAGTAAGATTAGAGAATCGTCTACTCAGCGAGTGAACTCTCGTTCTATTGTAGGTGTATATGTGTTACTTTTATCTTGTTTAGGAATAAAATCGATACTAAGACCCTTGTTAAAACGTTCAGTATGGCTCAATTCCAAATTGAGTTCACATTACAAAGCAGAGAAAAACAATACTTTATCATTTGTTGACGTCTTGAAAACATGAAGGCAAAAATGGAAGTATGAAGTGGGGTATTTTCTGTAAGAAATCATGAGTTGGCCAATGTATCTATTTCAGGTAGTATGTTCCTCTTGTATTCACACGAAATCTCATAAGTACCCTGATGTTTCTTGATAGAAAAATCTGCACAACTGACACTCTTTAAGATAAAATAAGGAAAATAGAAAATTTTTTGATATGAGAACGAATATTCAGAAAAATTTGTTAGTCTCCAAGTTGACAACGGATAGAGAGAAATGTTTGTAAATTGTGCAATAGAAACGTACATATATAACTTGACTGTTCAAGAGAGACGCAGACAATGAATTACCAGCATCGAAACTCCGAAGTATAATAGTTAAAACGTTGTTTGCAGTTTAAAATGTTGTTTAAAATTTGCCACTCGTTGTATAATTCCGATGTAGGTGAAGGATAAGCCACCGAGGTTGGCCATTTTACTGAGCATTTATAAATTTAACTGTTCTTGTGGAGACAGTTACATAAGTAGAACAACTCGACAAGTCTGCTGTCGCCTTATGGAGCATTATCCAAGGTGGTTAGGTAAAGGAGAAAAATAACGTCAATCACGAGTTCCATATTGGCACACACCTTATGGGTACAGAGAGTTTGAACAGTCGTTGACTCAGACGATGAGGATGGCAGTAAATAGGAGCCCTCTTTTCCACTTGGAACCCAAGGAAACAATAATAACATGACATTATGGATACATAGTGCTGGACTGATAAAAATTCCGTCTTCATAATTCTATACTGTAACAACAGAAGACAAGGGCCAGGCAACAGATCGTTTATTTACGAAATCAACACATATTTATAGATTTTCATGTACATTATTATAGATTATTGTTAGCTGACAAACACAGTATTCTGATTGGTTGTTTCTCACTAAAAGTTAATCATTCATCTCTTTGTGGCTGTTTCTTGAAGTTCAGGTTATCTATCTGCACATTGTATCCGCCTACGCAAAGTCTTCTGTGATTGGTTGTTGAGTCAGTCTTTGTTCTTATTTTTCTCATGACCAATATTGGAGGCGTAAACATTGACATAAATAACTATCTACCAATTTTGGCTAGCAGCCAGCTCTCACTACAATACAATGTGCCACCACAGTTCCCTAGGTTTGTACACCTTCGACTGCTGAGCGTAAATAAGGCAGTCTATGTGTTGAGAAAATGTCTGTTCAATCCCTCTGTCTCCCATGACCTTTAATCCCAACACAGAATAGTCAACTCTCCAAGTGACACTGGATAACTGTAAATAGTTTACTTATAATTGTGCAGCTCACTTCATTATTAATATCATACTGTTATGGATGCGTGTTTTAATCTCAGTTTCACAATTTATTAATATTATTATTTTAAGTGTTAGTTTGTAGGGATTTGATTGGTTTCAGGATTTCATCATGAGCTGACATTAATTAGAGAACCATTGGAAAACCTGAGAGTACTGGACAGACGCTTCGTCCTAATTTGGGACTCTTCATCAGTACACACCCACCGGGATTCGAACCCAGGACCTTCCGGTTACAAGGTGAGCTCGTAGACAATTAAGCCACTGGGACCCGATCCAATGGTCCTTGAATTCTAACTTCTGCCAATTCACGACATAGCGCGACCGCTAGCCAATGTCTTCGGCATCTTGTACTTGCATCTTACGTGATCTTATTTGATTTTATTGATCCAGATTGTTCCAAATATCTATGAGTAATATTTTATTATGTCACTTCTAGTGAGAATGATGAGAACTTACTTAAAAACACGCATCTGCTTGCTTAAATCGTGTACTATAATTTATAAGCAGTGGAAATGAATGCAACGACAGAAACTCAAGTACTTCAGTGTGAAGACAGGAGCCACTCTAGCCGTTCTTCTTTATAGCCTGCTTAACTTCCACGTGTCACTCATAATCTACAAAATATTCCGGAAATATCAAGAGGACTATTGAAGTGCTGGAATCTGTAGTACTATTTTTCACATCACTAATAACTTCTACCAAAAATACAAAAATACCTCAACAGTGTTAATATATGCGTAAAACTTGGGCACTGTGGTAGTAAGTAATTCCCTATTAGTTTGTTTATTAGATATATAACACACACAGTCTTTGAAACAGTATTATTGTTCACTGGATGACACAGTTTCAGAAATAATTCGTTGTTCACAAGCATGCCATTAGTTATAATCACATGAATTCGAAACTTGGAATTTATAGTTTTCTTTGCCCTCTCCTATTCGTCGTCGTGGGAGTGGTAGAATTCTCCAGATGTTCGACTGGACAGGTGTTAAATCATTCCTATTACACGTATTCGCCTCAGTTGATTCGATAAACAAAGCCTCCGTTATCAATCTCTCATTCCATCCTGTGAGATTAGATTTTAAAACTGTCATCCTATTCCATCCTATTGTGTGGATGATAATTGCATGTATTAAGTGGTTAGAGCTGAGCTATTCTCCAGATTTCTTATCTTATTCGGGTGAACCAATCTAAATTTTGCTGTTAGGTTTTATGCTCGGCTAGTCTGACTGCCCCTATTTTACTACTTTGACCTATGTATGTGACCTGACAATCATCGCAAGTGGGGTACTAGATAAACTAAATTGTTTTGCTTAATTAGCTCCATTGGATTGATCTTTTAACCCATAAAGCTTGTTTCTAATTGGTTTTGCGGGTTTCAGTATCAGCCACTTTTATTCCTACCTTGTTAAGAATTCTGCATAAGGTTTCTGAAGTTCCTTCCTTGGATAATAATGGCATTTGAACCTATCAACTCAATTAGAAACAATCTTTGTCGGTTAAAGGATCCTGTGGAGCCTTTAAAACAAAACAGTCTAGTTTATCTAATACTCCGCCTGCAATGTTTGTCAGGTCAAATACGTAGGTCAAAGTAGGGGATGGGGGTCAGTCAGTCAGACAAGTGGAGCACAAAACCCTAGCAGCAAAATCTACATTAGCTGACTCTAATAAGATAAGATATCTGGAGGATACTGCAGCTATACCACTCACTACATGCAATTACACACAACTAACCACACAATAGGTTGGGATAGGATGGCAGTCACAGGGTGGAGGGAGAGACTGATAACAGAAGCTTTGTTTATCGAATCAACTGCAAATAGGTATGATAGAGATGACTCAGCACCTGTCTACCAGGGCATCTGGAAAATCCTACTACCCCTATGACGACAATTTTCAAAGTTGTGTTATTATCATTGATGAAATGATTATGAAAAATTATTGCTCGTAACCTTGTCATCCAGTAAATAATACTGTTTCACAGACTGTGTGATACATCTAATAAACTAACTTATATGGAATTATCTCAAAAGTGTCATCTGAATGCTACACAGTCCAGAATTTTCTCAGGTAGTGTGCAACAAAACTGATTGACTAAACACTTTTATCAATTATCTGAGAATCAGTAAGAATATTCTCAAAAAGGTGGGATGAAAACTCTCTCTCTCTCTGATAGAGTCAAACAGAACAAATCATGCTCCCCACAGACATTCAAAGTGGAAGAGTGGAAGGCGAAGGATTCTACACTTCACTTGTTTACCGACTTCAAAGGTTCTGCATCCCGTCTTTTCTTCCTGTTCTGATTTCACAGCGTCTTTCTTCTGTTTACACTTCACACTTCTGATGTCTTCTTTCTGTTCCGCTCACAGCCTGGTCATATTCCGCTTCTAGGGGAGTGGCTAGGATGTACTGTTTATTCGTAGTCGTGGTTTCTTCTAGTTCATCAACTGAAAAGGTGATTTCTTTGGTGGACGGACGATGTGCTAACAGAACCAATGGAAGCACTGTTTCCCAGTTCATCCTTCAATGTACGGTTATTTCTCTCTGTCGGACCATTCGTATGTAGATCTTATGGTGCAGTTCTGATCTTCTTGCAAACGGGAAGTGAATTCTTCACTTTCGAAACAACAGGCTTGATCTGTCAATATCGTCTTTGGTACACTGTGGTGTGCAACAATGTGTTGAACTACTGCGTCAGTTACAGTTCTCCTGTGTTGATCAAGGATTGTGACAGCATCTACCCATCGTGTAGCGTGTTCCATCATCACCAAGACGTACTGATTGCCACTGGATATCTGCGGAAACGGACCGGACGACTCACATCTACACACCACAAGTCACCTACTGATGTAACTGGAATTGACTACAGAGCCGGTCGTATGCACCAATCTCCTCTTATCAACTGACACTGTACATATTTTGCCACATCTACTCTCATACTTGGCCTATACATGTTTTGTCTCAAGAGCTCAGTTGTTCTGGCTGCCTAGTGAGATTCTCGTAACATCTCATGGCGTAGAGATTGAGGTATTACAGCCAATCGGCTTCCGTCGTCCTTCTTCCTGGCATCGACAGCAACTGTATATTGAAAAACTACCACTGGA